AAATCTTAAATTATTTATCAAAAATTGAACTGAAAAATCTTATTTAACCTCGAATATATTTTTATGTAAATTTTATTTATTTCTATTTTATATATTTGTCTAAATAACTTTTTATTTTAATAGAAATTAGTTTTTATCATGTAATATTTTTATGTATATAATTTTTTTTTAAATAGCCATAAGTTCCTGATATGGCAATAAATATATAAATAAATAAATGTATAAATAATAATAATAATAATATTAATAATAATAATAATAATTTGTACACTACTGGATCTTAAAATTTTTCACTTGTTTTTAAAAAATATTTGAAGCGATTAGATGCAAAAACCTCTAAGTGCCGTGAGAAATTTCAATTGAAAATAAATATTATTGTCATCCTCCTTTGTTTATGTTGAGTTATTTCACTCTGAAGACCATTTCACTCTGAAGACCATGTTCTGTGCTCTGTGACATATTCTTTGCCAAAACTGAAACTACTGAAATTGCACACAGGAGCCTGATTAAAAATGCTCATTTTAGACGAAAATTTCACAAGGCATTTAGAGGTTTTAACATTTGAACTCTTCATTTACTCATTGCAGATGCACTGATATGATCAAAATACTAATGCAGGCATACATTGAAATGTTATCACAATTAGCAAGAACTCCAGAGTTCAGTGTCAAATGATCCTTCAGAAATGATTATAATATGCTGATTACTAATATCATCCAAAAATGTATATGTAATATATTTATAATATTGTATTATTTATATGGTCAGGAAACAGCATTGGGTGTCTTAAAATATTGAAAACAAAAATAAAAGCAAATTGTAACATTTATAAATAACTTTTGATCTGTTTAAATATCAGTTTAACGCATTTTTGCTGAATAATTATATTTACAAAACACATCTTATATGATTATATATGATTTGATATGATTAATAACTAATATGTTACTTTCAAATGTTGAGTAATAACATTAGGATAGCCTCACGAAATGCTACGTTTACATTTTAAAGGTGTTTAATAGAGCACATTAATTGCTAAACACACTCTTTTTCCCTGCCCTCCTTATTAGTTATAGTTTATTCTTACATGATGACTCTCTGTTTGTACATGTAAACTATTCCTGCCCTGTGGAGCTCCACCGTTAAGCTCTCTCAGAGTTGTAATTCCTGTTTCTTATGTTGACTTTTTGAGTTTTTTCAAAAGTTGCCTTTCGATGGTGGTTTGTGTGAGCTTGTATCCCATGCGCATACTGTTGCGTTCGATGTGCTGTAATTAAATCTGCGTTCATTTAAGGCCAGTCCTTCATAATGCCTAGGTTAAATTAGGTTCGTTTCCTGCGGTAATTTGATGTGAAAACATGTCATCTAACAGTGGACGTGTTTGTGGCGGTAAGCAGAAATCTCTAATCTGATGTCCTGATGTTCCACTGGATTACAGCGCTGCTCATTCCGGGACAGGGAATGCTTGTTGATGGGAAGGATCAGACAAGAGCTCAGTGCTTGTAATATTTGGTTTTTGTGTTGGTCAGATATTTATGAAAATATAGGCTAGATGTCTTCTCACACTACAGGTACATTGCATGCAAAGTGTTCAGTGTACACAGTTTGGTCAAGGATAATACAGGCGTTCAAAATCATGAAAGTATAGTACATCTTTTTCCCTGAACGTTAAAAGGTGTCCTTAGAAGAAAATAATGACTAATAATTATGCGTTTTTATCATGATTTATTGAAGAAACACAGTCATGCCAATCAGTGCAAGAGGAGTTAAATAAACATCTTGTGTTCTCTTGTTCTGTAGTTAATAACACATGACTCACTAAGGTAAAGTTCAGTTCCGGTTGTTGGTTCTGCATTAGATATTGTCATTTTCATGCATTTAAAAGTAAGAAACATGACGTAGAATGGAAATATGAAGCTTCAGTTTAATTTATCTTTATTTCTATAGCGCTGTTAAAATGTAGATTTTGTCAAAGCCGCTTAACATAGAAGTTCTAGTGGATTGAAACCGTGTCAGTCCAGTTTTTAGAGTTGACGTTCAGTTCAGCGTGCTTTAATTTTCACTGTTGAAAGTCCAAACACTGAAGAGCAAATCCATCGATGCGCAGCTCTACAAGACCCAAAACCAAGCAAGCTAGTGGCAGTTTGAACATTTTTATTTTTCCTTGTGCTTTTTAGAGTTGCTCTACATTGATCTATGTTTGCACTTATGCCAGGCTTAATTTATGATCAGAATAATCTCATTTTTTGGTTTCTGTCCATCAAGATTTAACATAAATTTGCATTTAATTCACTGGATTATCCAAAATGGGCATTATGACATGGTTATTTAATATAACATCCATTTCTAGCAGAACACATCATTGCTAATACTGAGAGTTTTTAAAATGTCTCTCTAAGGCTGTGTGAATCAGGGGAAAAATTGAATTGTGATTTTTCTGACTAATTTTGGTTCATGATTTAATTTAACTAACCTCAATTTTCCATTAATGTGCAACATGCCTAAACTGTATATTCATTCATTCATTTTCCTTTGGCTTAATCCATATTTCAGAGGCCCCCACAGTGGAACGAACCTCTAACTATTCCAGCATATTTTTTATGCAGTACATGCCTTTCTAACTGCAACCCAGTATTGGGAAATCCCATTGCACACGCATTCACACACTCATACACTACGGACAGTTTAGTTTATTTAATTCACCTATACCGCATGTGTTTGGACTGGGGGGGAAACCGGAGCACCAGGAGGAAACCCACCTGAACACAGGGAAATCATGCAAACTCCACACAGACATGCCAGTTGGCCCTGCCGGGACTCGAACCAGCGACCCTCTTGCTGTGAGGCGACAGTGCTAGCCCTAAACTGTATATGTAAATTATTAGTGATCTATATATAAATTTAGCCTTCATTCATTGTGTAGCCTTCATTCACTGTGTAGTCATTATGTATTTTATATGCATCAAACCTGTTTCTCTCTCTTCACAAAAAAAGCTCTGTACATTTTCATGTGATAATAGTCTTAACAACAGTCTTTTCGACCATTTTTAATATAAATATGCTTGTATGTATGCATGTATGTGTGTATTTATACACATTCCTATGTTCTTATGACTGTGTGAAATGCAGAGCTCTGTCTTTTGTTAGAGAATCAGGTGCATTTAAACCTGGTTTATTGACCTTATTCTGTTACCTATGAGTGGGCGCAGCTATTGGAACATTATTGGTTTGAGACTTCTGGTCTCATTCACTTCTATTGATTGTTAAAGTCTGCATGAACCGGAAGTTCCCGAGTCTTTTAATTCAGTACGTTGATGTACTTCCAACTAAAACTGAATATTGAGTTGGAGGCACGGCTTTGTTTTTGTGCATCATTCTCTCAATGTAACAGTTAGAGGGTTGTTTTTAAGAATATTGTGGCTGAAATCGCCAAACTGGCGTTAAAAGAAAAGGATCATTACTCCAAATGCTGAAGAAAATGGTCAAATTTTAATTGAAGATTACCAAAACATTCTTTTAGTGGATGTATTTGGAAATTAAAATTTGTCATTAAATTGCTTGATGTTGTAAACTGGTATTTTCTTTCAATATTGTTTAAATTTATGTAATAGAGGCTAGCTAGCGAAGTGCTATGCAGGTAAACGTCACTCCTCTTACCTCTAAAAGGGGCTCTAGCGACAGATGTTTCAGAGGCCATGGTCTATAGCCTTCCTGTTAGAGCAACCCATTCCCATGCAAAAAAAAAAAATGCTGGTTCGATCCCAGCTCAGCACAAGTTGAGAGCAGAAGGGCCGGTGGGTTACAGTTATATGTATTGTCATAAACATGATTGTTTATAGAGCAGAGGAGAGTCTGCATCAGGATACATAGTGTTGTTAAAGTAAATAATAGGAAGTAAAGTTGGAGAGAAATGGGGGATTTAAACACAGGACACCCAAAGCTTATTGTGATATACAGTTTAAATCAAAATGATTAGCCCTCCTTTCAATCTTTTCTTTTTAAATTATTTCTTAAATGATGTTTAACTGCAAGGAATTTTGTTTACAGTGTTTACTCTAATATTTTTTTTCTTCTATAGGAAGTCTTATTTATTTCAGCTAAAATGAAATCAGTTTTTTTTTTTATTTCTTTAAAAACATTTTAAGGTCAATATTTTTAGCCCCCTTAAGCAAATTTTTGTTTTGATTGTTTACAGAACAAGCCATTGTTATACAATGACTCACCTAAGTACACTAACTTTCCTAAATAACCTAGTCAAGCTTCATACTACAGTAGCATTTTGAATCTATCTAGTAAAATATAATGTACTGTCATCATGGCAAATAAGAAAGAAATCAGTTATTAAAGCGATTAAGTTTAGAAATATGCTGAAAACATACTGCATCTTCTTTCTGTAAAATATAAATTGAGGAAAATATACAGGGGGCAAATAATTAGGTAGGGCTAATAATTCTGACTAACCCGTATCGACTATTTGTGTTATCGTTATATATTTAAATCACATTCATGTCACAGACTTGTGATTTTGCTAATCGCAGCATCAAACAACATTACAATTAAATTTTAAATAATCACACTCTCTCAGTATAGCTGATATTTGTGTATACGGTAGTTATGAACAGAGAGCCGGGCACAGCTGTTTGCCAGCTGTTGAACACAGTAGCACAAACGGTAGTATTTTGCCTTCTAATCTTGTCATTAAAGTCTGTTTTGTTTGTATCATTTTGTTTAAACACTTGCGCGGGTGTATATTTACGCCTGCTCATTCATTTCTCTGGTATGAATGTTGGCGTGTTATTGATGGTCTTCAGAGCTCAACACGTGTATCCTGCTGTTTGTGAAACTGTGTGTTGTTTGACTTTCCATTTAGCTCCGGTTTATGTTTTCAAGCGTGCGCAGGTGGTCATACAGTACAACATGTGTCTGTTTGTTTGACTATGGACGTTATTTACTTTCACGTTATCTGCTGAAATAATTGCCCTTTTTTCTGTCTGTTTTAGGAGTGTCCCAGAGACGACCTTTGACCTCCACGGGGACATTCACAGTGGCTCTGCTCTCCCTACAAGCAAGGTTTCAGATCGGCTTGATTGTTTTTACGTGTCTCTTTGCTGTGATGAGTGTATCTGATGGGGTGATTGCTGGTTTCAGAGCTCAGGGAAGCTGGAGATGGAGCGGTCAGGAAACAGCAGTGAAAGAGGCCTGGTGAAGCCCATGATTCGTGGAGAGCAGCAGGACTTTAGCAAGCATGATGGAAGGTAAAGACGTAATCATCTCTGTGTGTGCTTACAGTAGTTGTCACTAGCTAACTAGCTAACTAACTGTCACTGCTTTCATCCAAAAACGCTAATTACATTTGTGCGCAAAACTGGAATATCGCATAAGAGACTTGCTAATAAAGCAGCGTTTCCGTCTAATAAGTCAAAGAGAACAAAGACGTCACTTCCTGATTAACTGGCACCAAATATGAACAGTAAAAATGAAATTTTGCTGCATTGAGATAAGCTGCGTGAATCTTTTCTTCATTTAATAAATGACTTGTGCCTCAGAAGACAATGCAGATTTGCAATGAACACGTGGTGTCGTTTGAAGGCGTGAGACGCAGAGCACAGACACTCTTGATTCTGGTGGTATTTAATAATATAATAACACTAATACTGAGATGGTTTAAAAATGAACAAAACAACATTTCAGATGTTTTATAGTGTTTTTCCATTTACACACATTTTTATCATCACATGATCTCTTATCTTAATCACATGACTTTTTTTTAATGCACATACTGGAATTTGTGTAAAGGTGCTTTTATCATAGTTTATGCACATCTTAAAAGTTTATCTTACTGCATTTGTTTTTTTAATAATTGTTTTTTTTAGGGGTTTTCACTTTTATTATGATATTAGACAGTGGAGATTTCAGACAGGAAAGCATTGGGAGCAGAGAGAGCGTAAGGATCGAAAAAGATCCCGAGCCGGGAATCGAACTCGGGTCGCCATGAACACCTTTTGTGCTATATGTCGGTACCACTATACTATTGCCTCTGACTCGCACTTGTTTTTTAATGCACATTTGAGAGTACACCTCTCACAAATCTCCCTTTTAAATTCTTATGTTCTACAGGGTGCTTTACAATATTATATGAGTACATTAGATTAGTCAGCACTGAAGCCAAATCTGGAGCTAATCTAACAAAACGGTAGCCAAAATGTTATATGTTAGGCCAAATATGAAATACAAATTAAAAAGTTAGGAAAAATCTAAAGATTGTTATTAATTATGCTAAATAATAAAAATATGTAATACAGCAAAATACAAGTAGTGGTAGTAATAATAATAATTCTTTGTAATATAATCATCATTAACATAAAATTAGGAAATCATTCGTTTTATTAATTTTCATTTTATTCATTCATTCATTTTTCTTCGGCTAAGTCTCTTTTTTCATTAGGGGTCACCACAGCGGAATGAACAGCCAACTTATCTATTACATGCAAACTCCACACAGAAATGCCAACTGACCCAGCCGAGGCTCGAATCAGCGACCTTCTTGCTGTGAGGCGACAGTGCTAAGCACTGAGCCAACACATCGCCGCTAAATGACATTTTATTTAATTTTAATTCTTATAGGAATTTATTTTATTAATGGTATAGTTGGTATATTTGAATAACGCAAAAAATTTGGGTAATTTCACAAAATTCTAAAATGACCAATAACATGGGGATAAAATGCAGATTTAGTTTGAGACCAAAGCATGTCATAGGTGTCAACGTGAAAGCTGAGCAAATACATTTTCCACTGCTGTATTGTTAAGGTATGACAATATTTGTCTGAGATGCAACTATTTAAAACGTTTTTTCAAAAAATCTAAATGCTAAAAAATAAAAAGTCTTCGTTAACATTGTCCAAGGCTGCATTTACACTGCATAGTTCAAGTGACTTCATTTCGATTATTTTTTTTCTCTCCCATGGCCAGTGTATGTGTAAGCAGGAAAAAGTCACATGGATTCCGATTTACTCAAATCAATTGCAGACCCTGTTCAAATGTGGTAATTCATCCGATATGAATCGGATCCGTGCCCTCTTAAAAACCATAGCAAATGGCATCAACTCTGACACTTTCATTTCAGAAAAGACTTCAGAACTGAGTCCCAAACCCTAAATCGTATACACTAGAACAAAAGAAGATGGCCAATTGAGAATTTTTCTGTCATAAGCTGTAGTATAAAAACTACTTGCCAAAAGGAATACATAAATAAAACCTTCCAAACAGATTAGGGCCCAACCTTAATTCTATTTTTGTACCTCTACCCTTTCCCCTTGGCACTTGAAAGTGGGGAAGGGCGACAAAATTTACCCTGAAGGAAATGGGACAGCACAACAACACCCGCACACTTCATCAAATGTCATCGCAATCTCTTTCTTTATACGAGTACAACAATAGTTACTCCAGTTGCAATTTTTTGGCTTTTATCTTCAAGATATCACTGAAGGCAACGATATCATGTTACTATAATGATAAAATGTGGCAATAAGATCGTAGCTGTACTTTGCATTTACTGTGGCCATTATACCAGACACTGTAAAAAGCTCATTCACAGCCACTAGAATTTTCTCACAGGGTATTCGAGTGTCATCAAGTGACAGAATGTTGTGGGACAACTATACAGGAGTTATTATTATGGATTATAGATAGCCACATTTATCGTTTTTTATATTAAGGGGTAGAATTGGGATTGGGCTTAGGTACAGGAATGGAGAAAAGAGCACTCTTTTATTATCAGCTATTAGTCAGCGCCTGCTCTTTTTTTTTTCTGGTCCAATGCGCCTTTGCAGTGTGCAGTGTAAATGCAGACCATTGGATACAAGTCACTTTTAAAAGAGGATGTAAGCCGGTCATCAAAAAAATCAGATACGGTCACAAAATTTAAATTGACCATCAAGATCTGCAGTGTAAAGCAGCCTAAATGCAGTGCTTCAAAAGATACATTACTAATCTAAAGTTGTGTTTTGATATAGTTAAAATATGAATTTTACAATATATCTAAGATAATGATAATAATATCTAACATAAGTTTTGTGCTCCTGGCCCACATATAACCAAAAACCAGTCCACGTTATCCGTCTCTGTTTAGTAAGAGCAGGTTTTTTATGTGTGCGTGATCTGTCAGTCACTGAGGGTCTCTATGGAGTCAGCGGCGAGTGCAGGCATCTATATGTAACACTACTCCTTCCTTCAGTCGGAACCTGAGACACCTGAACCCGCCGCTCACCTGGCTTCAGTCCTGTCATCAATAATCCATTGACAATGAACAAACACACTCACGCACTCACACATACAGAGTCTGGCATCTGCAGCGGGATGTTGTATGGCAGGATGGGTGCAGGGTCTCTGGAGCGGTGGGCTTCTGTAGACAGCGGTGTCAATCTGTCCTATCTGAACTGGTTTATCGAGCACCAATTCTTTCCCCGCAGGTCTCAGGACGGCCCGGAGCTCACTCTGCCCGCCAGCATCGAGTTCAGGGAAAACTGTGAGTAAAGCACAATCTGTCTAACAAGCAAGACCCGCTGATTTGTGCTGGTTTCGTTTCTCTTTGTGTGTTTCGTCTTTAACTGGGACGTGTGTTTTGTTGGCTTGTTAACGTCATGTTTGTTTGGTTTGTGTTGTCCTGGGTGTTGCAATAAGACAACTTAGTGTTTCTACATGACCCGGCTGATGGGATGGTTTTATTTTTTCCATTTGTAGTGCTGATTTTGCAGCTAAACAGACAGCTAATTATAGAAATCACTAATGGTTAGCCGCCTTGAAAATCAATGCTTGGAAACTATTGATGACTGTTAGAAAACTGTTGTCTTAGTGGTTAGCTTGTTGAACAATGATTTACACTTTTTTTTTTTGTTTGTTGAAAATCATTTAGTTTTTTTAAAAGAAAGAAAAACATGTAAATGGAGTGCATCATTTTCTCACGATACTACTAGGTGGTAGGAGTGAGTTTTTTGGCATATGACAGATTTTTTCTGTGCCTTTGCGTAGATTTATCACAACTACAGCAGATGATCAAGTCATGTCATTTATTACAACTTACATATTCAGTTAATTGTTTGAAGTTGTTTCTAAATGAGATTCAAAAGTAGCCTAAAGAGCGCTACTTGTGATTCAAAAGTGGCCTAGAGTGCCATCTGCTGTTGTTAACTAGCCTAGAGTGCCTCCTGCTATTCAAAACTAACCTAGAGCGCCACCAGATGTTCAACTAGCCTAGACTGCCTTCTGCTTTTTATTTCTATCCTAGAACACGATTTGCTGTTTAAAACTAACCTAGACTGCCTTTTGCTGTACAAATCTAATCTAGAGCACCATCAGCTGTTCAAAACCAGCCTAGACTGCCTTCTGCTTTTTATATCTATCCTAGAACACGATCTGCTGTTTAAAACTAAACTAGACTGCCTTCTGCTGTACAAATCTAATCTAGAGCACCATCAGCTGTTCAAAACCAGCCTAGACTGCCTTCTGCTTTTTATATCTATCCTAGAACACGATCTGCTGTTTAAAACTAAACTAGACTGCCTTCTGCTGTACAAATCTAATCTAGAGCACCATCAGCTGTTCAAAACCAGCCTAGACTGCCTTCTGCTTTTTATATCTATCCTAGAACACGATCTGCTGTTTAAAACTAAACTAGACTGCCAACTGCTGTACAAATATAATTTAGAGCATCATCAGCTGTTAAAAACTAACCCATAGAGTTCAATCTGTTGTTTAAAACTAGCCTAGAGCACTATCTGCTATTGAAAAGTAGCCTAGACCCCCATGTGCTATTCAAAAGTAGCCTAGAGCGCCATCTGCTATTCAAAACTAGCCTAGAGTGTGCCTCTTGCCGTACAAAACTAGCTTAGATCACCATTTGCTGTTCAAAACTAGCCTAGAGCGCCATCACCTGTTCAAAACTAGCCTTGTACGCCAACCTGCTATGCAAAACTAGCTTAGACCGCAATCTGCTGGTAAAAGCTTAAGCTCAGAAATAATTCAAAAGAAAATAATGATGCATTTTGAAGCTCTGTGAATGATCATGCTAAAATAAAAACTTTTTTTTTATTTTTTATTACAATTTAATCTCTACGTTTCATCTGTCCCATGATTCTCCCCCATAGCCGAGGATGCCTTCCTGTCGGCCATCATCAACTACACCAACAGCTCGACAGTGCACTTCAAGCTTTCTCCCACATACGTGCTGTACATGACCTGCCGTTATGTCATGTCCAGCCAATACCGGCCCGACATCAGTCCCTCCGAACGCACACACAAAGTCATCGCCATTGTCAACAAGATGGTGAGCATGATGGAAGGAGTCATCCAGGTGGGTGTCTGCATTTTTTTTTATCATCATTATCTTCTTATCTCTCTTTTTTTTTTTTTTTTTTTTTTACAATGGGAGTTGTTTAACTTTATTATTTATACTTCATACATGATGCTGTAGCTGTAAAAGTAGAGATGTGTTTGTGCAGTTGCATTATACATGCTTTTGTAGTGGTAGAGTTAAAGCTTGTGTCACTCTGCTCTCATCAATTCAGGTCATTGCCTCAGCAAACAGTGCTTAAACTACTGCACTCAGTGTTTCCCCTGTGTGTTTTTGTACTGTGAATGTCTGTGTGTGTGTGTGTGTGTGTGTGTGTGTGTGTTTGTGTCTCTGTCTCTTGTTGTTCTTGATTCATGAACCATATTTACTCTACAGAGTTTGGTTCCAAAGCTTCTGACAGTCCCTGGGCTTACACACTGAAATGTATTGGCAGAAAAAAAAGAAGTTTTCGTCTGTTGCTCAAAACTAGCCTAGAGCGCCATTTGCAGTTCAAAACTAGCCTAGAGCGCCATCAGCTGTTCAAAACTAGCCTCCAGTACCATCAGCTGTTCAAAACTAGCCTCCAGTACCATCAGCTGTTCAAAACTAGCCTAGAGCGCCATCACCTGTTCAAAAGCGCCATTAGCTGTTCAAAACTAGCCTTGAGCGCGATCAGCTTTTCAAAACTAGCCTAGAGCGCCATCAGCTGTTCAAAACTAGCCTAGAGTGCCATCAGCTGTTCAAAACTAGCCTAGAGTGCCATCAGCTGTTCAAAACTAGCCTAGAGTGCCATCAGCTGTTCAAAACTACTCTAGAGCGCCATCACCTGTTCAAAAGCGCCATTAGCTGTTCAAAACTAGCCTCGAGCGCGATCAGCTTTTCAAAACTAGCCTAGAGCGCCATCAGCTGTTCAAAACTAGCCTAGAGCGCCATCAGCTGTTCAAAACTAGCCTCCAGTACCATCAGCTGTTTAAAACTAGCCTCCAGTACCATCACCTGTTCAAAAGCGCCATTAGCTGTTCAAAACTAGCCTAGAGCGCAATCAGCTTTTCAAAACTAGCCTAGAGCACCATCAGCTGTTCAAAACTAGCCTAGAGCGCTATCACCTGTTCAAAACTAGCCTAGAGCGCCATTAGCTGTTCAAAACTAGCCTCGTGCGCCATCAGCTGTTCAAAACTAGCCTAGAGCACCATCAGCTGTTCAGAACTGGACTAGAGCGCCAACCCCAGATTTTTAACTAGTAGTATAAATATCAGCATTGGATAATATGTCATATCATAAGCAAAACTTTGAGTCTCTTCAATACTTTTTCCCCACTGTATCACTTTATATTAATTCTACAAAGTGGTTAGGTCTTTGCTCATTGTCATGACATGATACTGTTCTCAGCTGCATCAAGTGACTAAACACCCTCATTATAACGCCAACGTTCACTTTCATCATTCGCTCACCACAAATGACCGTGAACGCCTCTTTACACTTCAGAAATGAGCTCCACATGTTCTCGGTTTATTTAGGTTCTTATTTGCACAGCGAATGCAGGTTTCTTTTGGTGGCCCACCCAGATGTTCGACTGTACATCTCAGAGAAAAACAGCATTGCTCAGATGCTTATAATAACATAAATAATCTCTTTCCTTTGTGTAATAACACTTAAAAAAAATTCAGTACCTGAAATGAAAGTTTATGACTGCATGAAGTCTGATTACGCACATAATATATAAAATGATTATTGGTCTTTTTCTGAATTTACTGGAAATCATCAATAATAAGTGTCAGTGCCACCAGCAAGTAAGTGTACTTTTGGTTGTGGAAAGAGAAGCCTGATCAGGGTGACTCAAACCCAATCCTACTATACTGAACTAAACTACCGCTCAATAGTCTAGAGCCTCAGGATGTCCCGTACGCCAGTATAGTTGTAGTTGTTTTTAATATAGCACATTTTTACCACACTGCATTGCCTAGAGTGCTGAACACAATGCACCCTAATGAAAATAACTAATTACACAGCACATAAAGACCAACTAAAACATAAAACAAACACTCAAATGTTTTTGTGATTTATTTAAGGTTATCAAAATGAATGTACAATGTGCTTTTAGAGATGTAATCAGAGGCAAGCTTTACAAAAATGTGCAATGGGTTATAGTCCAAATGTACTACAATATCAAATCATAAACAATAGTAGCAAATAGGTTTACTAAATGTTTACCAAATAAATAAGTACATAAACTTTTTAGGGCAAAATAATAATAATGAAATTATAGTAATCCTTGAAAATAAGTAAATAAGTCAATAGATAGATGGAGGGAAGGAAAAAAATAAGAAAAAAAGGGAAACATCACACATATTAAGCACTAATATAAGTTTGGACAGGCAGATGAAACTCTCTCTCTCTCTCTCTCTCTCTCTCTCTCTCTCTCTCTCTATATATATATATATATATATATATATATATATATATATATATATATATATATATATATATATATTTTTTTTTTTTTTTTTTTTTTTTTTTTTGCCAACTATATTTAATAACATTTTTTGCAGATACAATATCATATACATACTGAAATAAGTAATACACTGTTCTGCTTTTTCACAACTAAAAACCAATGAACATCAGAAAAAAAATAAAGTTATGAAATGACACGGTAAATGTAAAAAATAAATAAATAAATAAATATATAATCAACAACAGTAAAAAAACTAACTACAAAAGTAATAAATAAATAATAATAAAAACAAAAAACAAAATAAAACTAAAAACCTTTATTCCTCTTCTGCTTCAAGATCAATAGTGTCAATATAATTCAACAAGGGTTTCCCTTGTTGTTTTGTAAAAGGTTTTTAAAGAGCCTTTTAATGAAAACCTCATTTTTTTTCCAATTTTAAACACAAAAAAATGTCTTTTATCCATCTGTCATGTGAAGGTGGAGATGTTTGTTTCCATTTCAGGAGAATAAGCCTCCTAGCCAATAATGTAGTAAAAGCCACAACATTCTGTATTGTGGAAGGCAAATTTGGCTCAAAAGGAATTCCGAATAGTGCTGTTAGAGGATTTGGAGTGGCTGATATGTTAAAAATTTTTTTTCAAAAGTATTGAATATTTTAGACCAAAGCACTGTCAATTTTGGACAAGACCAGAACATGTGTGTGTGATTTGCTGGAGATTGTTGACACCTATTACAAGTATTATTTCTATTTGGGTATATTTTGTCTAATCTGGCATTCGTGTAGTGTGCTCTGTGAAAAATCTTGCACTGCATTAAATTGTGTCGGGTACATATAGAAGAACTGTGAACAAGATTGACTATATAATCCCATTCTATTTCACTGATGGTGATCCCCAACTCTTGTTCCCATGTATTCTTGGGTAATTCTATATATATATATATATATATATTTCAGACCACGGCACAATCCTTGATTAACAGTCGGTTGGCTTTTTGTTACCGTGCAGCCTTGTCCAACATTGGTTTCTTGCTGAGAGGAAGCAGGACCTGTTCCTGACAAGCTTAGGAGTTGAATGCTGAAGAATAATTCATAAAATTTAAATAAAAAAAATTATAAAATAGCTACAAAGTTCAAAGCCCAAATAATAAGCAAGATGCTTGCAGAAGCTTAGTGAAAATGTGCACCTAGGTTAAAAGCATCACGTGAACCCCAGAAGGTTTATAAAAACAAGTAAACAGAAAAAGCCTGATGCCCTCTTCACTTACACCAGGTCCTCGATACAGACTGATCTGATGACCTTAATGACCTACCAGGACGTTATACATGTAGGAGATCTGATAAATAAGGAGATGCCAGACCATTTAAGGATTTATAAGTAAAAACTAATAGCCACAAATCAATCTGGAACCTGACGGGCAGCCAACCCAGAGAGGAGAGAACTGCGGATATGCAGTATAGTGTGAGATGAAGAAGATGATGTTGTGTGTGAGCGTGAATGTCTTTGTTTACATACCTGTGTGAATTCTGTCCATGCCATGGCTGTTGTTGACAGTCTCTCTCTCTGTCCTGTCGGATGTCTGTCCCCCTCCTCCTCCTCTCCCACACCTACTATCTCTACAGGAGATTGCTGAAGGTGATCAGGTAGGAGTTTGTGCTGCTAGGGAGGCGTCTCAATTCTTCCTCTCTCTCTATCTCTCTCTCTGTCAGCTTTGCTCCGTCTTCCATGCCTCTTTTATCCCCCATAACAGAAAGCAAACAACCCAAGCCAACTAAAGTAATCCCTCCTCCTACAGCTGGACGCAAATGTTTCATAACACCCCCTCATTACGACTCAACCTGGACCATGCGATACTAAAATTGACAACTTTTTAATTGCGGCATCTTCCATTTTTTTTTTTTTTACCTCTGCTTAACTGCACTTCAGTGTGGATGAGAGACTACCCCCATTTCGCTTGTTTGGAAACTCATAATAGAGATGCACTGATCAAACGGCCAGAAAAATCTGACTTTTTTAATTATATTTTTTGTTTGTTTCTAATGTGCAATTGGCAACCAATGTTTTTGTTTACTTCTATTATTTATATATATATATATATATATATATATATATATATATATATATATATATATACACACACACAGTATATATACAATATATATATATATTAATATATATATATATATATATATACAGTGTATATATATATATATACAGTATATATACAATTGTGAGTTTTAATCTAGATGATCCGATATCAATACAATATTTAAAAAAGTCATAAGATGCTGATAGAAATTGTCAAAATAAAACCTGAAAAAATAAAATAAAAGCTATATTCAGGTGGCAATTTTAATAAAGTATCTAAAACACTGTAAAAATGAATACATTATGATCAATTAGTCATAACAACATGTGTTTTAAGTTCATTGTTACTCCTTCAACTAAGATAATACTAAGATAATTGTTACTCAAGCTGTATTTAGTCAGTTTAATATAATATTAGTTCAAAGAACTCATGTGGTTCATTTGATTCAGCTTAATTTAATGCAACCTGTTTGTTTTTCCAGTGAAGGGAAACCCGTTGTCTTGAGAGAAGTTCAGATGTTTTTACTTCTTAGATCATCTCTATATAATGCAAATAAAAGCATGGCACAGCTGCATTTTTTTTACAGCACTAAACCAAGGAAACACTTGTTCTGTAAGTGCCACCTCCAGGCAGAAAGTAAATTTGTTTCTGTTTTTTTTTTTGTTGTTGTTTTTTTTATTATATAATTAGGGTTAGGTTAGAGCAACCCACGGTTTGGAACGCACGTGACCCGTGGCTTAGGTTAATACATTTATTTTTTGCTTGTAGATTAATTCTTAATTTGTAATGATCACAGTATGAAAGCATTTAGGTTTTCCTGTAAAATATAATGATGACAGAAGAAGTTGTGACAGGTTATTTGGGATTTGGTGGGTTTCTTAGGTTATTAATTAAAGGTGTTTTCTGTCACTACTTGTTTAGCCTGCATTAATGCTTTCAGTGTAAGCTGCACGATTAATCATTAAATGATTGGGATCTCAACACCCACACAACATAAATCATCAATTATGGTGGTTTGCATATGTTTATTAAACCTTTAAATAACTGCGCTTACATCTGTGTTAAAAAAAACGCAAAAATCAAGAAAGAGATTCAGTCTTTAGTGAGTTAGTTATGAAGTTACAAGCAGTGAAATAACACAGAAATACTAGGATAACAGCTTATAGTTTAGATAAAACACTGATGTTTATGGTAAAGACAACAATCACCATCATGTGCATTTAACTTGATGCTCGAAAATGACAGTTTTAGGCAGCACTTACATTATTTAACCAATAGGTGGCCATTAACAGCCATTAAAAATATGCCACTGAATAATTCTACAAAAATGATACATCTAGCAATGAAACATGAAGTTTTAGGAGTAAATAACTGAATTATTTTATTGAAAATGATTGTATTGATTTTTACAATTAGCGTTATGAGCAACAGTAGTTGTTACAGTTAATTTTTTACAGTCCTGAATAATTTACAATTTGTTTTTATTCAGCTGATTATATCTTTATTTTATTTTTACTAAAATTACAGGTTTTAAGCTCTGTTTGTTAAAACCAAAGGCATCTTGCAGTGCTGTTTTTGAAATAAATAGAAAGCTAATTACATTTGTCTCCTTCCCTTTTTTATCTGATACGAAAAATGATTCGAAAAAACATAATGTGATGCGGACTGTGAGATTTGTGATCTGTTACACCACTGATTTTTATAATGCGTTTTATATTTGTAACTTATAAAGTCTAATAGGAAATTAGTCATAAAAAAAGGAAATTGGAATCTGCTCATTTTCTTGTGAAAAATCTTAAATCTGAGTCGGCTGTTAAAAATCAAGATCGGTGCATCACTACTTTTTAATTTCCTTTCATTTGATTTCATGTCTGTGGTTAACGTCATTGTTCTTACGGATGCGTTCTGTGGCCAGTGTGATGTATTGGGGAGGGACGGGACTGGGTGGGGGTTGCTGATGTCGCCGTCATGTGTGATAGACGTGTGCGGGTATACACAGGGGTCCGGTTAGGTCCGGGCTGTGTGTATCCCCCCCTCTGTGGCCCTCTTTACACCTGGGATTAAGAAGCACTTTAGTTTATCGGATCACAAGTAGACAAGGGACACACATTTGCATTGACAACTGATGCTTGGATGTCCACTTTCAACCACTTTTGGTGTGCGGGTGGCTGTATGTTACTTATCATCTAACATTGTCAAAAAACATTTAAAATCAGATTTATCTTTGGTCCACATTTTTGCTGTTAATCATACTGTTAAAAAGTGGAGTCTCTTTGCACAAATAAAACTTTACATTATGCAATTGGTGACTGAGATGAAAATAAATAAAGTGCCTAAATAAAGCCTTCACAAGCCTGAATTTCACTAAATAAATGCTCAAATTGATCAAAAGCTGCCCTATTATAGGATTTTTTTCATTTCTCATACCTCATTTTACAACTTTAGGGCTTAGTCTAAAATTGCATACTTCCATACTATTTAGTATGCTAAAAACAGTATATGAGCCGAGTATGACGCTATGCTTTCCCATGATGCACCATGAGAGAGTTTATGAATGGGAGTTAAGGGTCGCAGCTGACGCGGGTAGGTCAAGTGATGGTGACAAAATGGCGGATGTAGTACTTCTGAGTTCCATTTGTATTACTCTCATTCATACTGTACAGAACGTACTTTTTTCAACGGTAGTGTAGTTCAATCAAATTTGAATGCAGAACCTACTGAGTTGTAGGCGTTTTCGGACGCAACCCTAGAGCTTAACCGCTGTGTTTTACCATTTTTGTATCCATGTCAGCTAATCTCCATGTCCATGGGCGCACTATTAACATAGCTTAGCATAAATCATTGAATCAGATTAGACCATTAGCATATCGTTCAAAAATGACCAAAGAGCATCGATATTTTTTTCCATTTAAAGGGGTGGTCCAGAATGTAATTTTAAGGCTTGGTTGTGTTTATAAGATGCAAAGCAATGTGTGCTTATGGTTTACTTGAAGGAAATCGCGTAAGTTTTTCATATATCTCACTTTGATTATACACAGCTACTCAGCTAACATGAAAACGGCTGTCATATTTCCTAGTTCCTCTAAAAGGCCCGCCCTTAAGTGACTCTGATTGGTCATCGTCATGATGTGCTGCTATTGGCGGATCGGCCCGTAAAAGCACGTGCTTTTCTGCTGTGTAAACATGCAGTCAACCTCGCGCCCGCTCTCTAAAATAACATCTGACAAGTGTCTGTAACAAAGGAGTGAAAATGGGGTGCGGCTCCTTTAACAGCGTGTGTGTGTGTGTGTGTGTGTGTGCGTCTATGTGTGTGTGTGAATGTGTAAACTTTAGCAAGCGCATGTGCGTGGGACTTTCTTTTTCTCTGATGCTTGGATTAAGTTATTTTCTGTAATATATCGTGACAGAAGAATAAAGCACAAGGTGTGAGATGCTACCCGTTGAGCCTTGATTTATTATTCTGCTGCGACCACTAGTCAGGTAAGCTAATCTGTATTTCTTTAACTCTATGCGTATGACGTCTTTCACGAGTATCCGGAATATACAGGTGTAAGTAATATGAATCATCCACATATCTTTTGCGACTTCATTATCTGAGATGTGAAACACATGGAGCTCCTTGAAGACTATCAGTGCAGTCCCGTGCGCACACACATAAGAGACACGAACGTGCTGGTGGTGTGAGTGTGTTACAGCAGTTTGGCTGATAGATATGAATTTGTAGGTAAATCGTTTGCCCGCAAAGCAGCATTTCGCATTGTTTACATCATTGCTACAGCATACCGTTAACGCTAGCCATTGAACATGTCATGATCAATTTTAACAAATAAAAACACTTACTTGTAGCTTACAACTTCTGCTTTGAGGAGATTTTAGCCGAATCCAGCACTGAACTGGGACAGATTCTGGAGCTGTTTTGTCAAATCATGCTTGCTGAGTATTTTATAATTCTCTGGAAGATAATTAATATTGAACTGAAGGCACTTCTCTCTTTGTGTCGTGTCCTTTGGAAGCCCAATTACAGAAACAGACGAAGCTCTGCGGAAACAGCAGCGTTTAGACGCATCTCTGCTATAACGTTACAGTGTTTCTGGCCACGGCCCTTACCTGCATGCGCAGTGTGGGATGCGCAGTAAACGAACTTGTGATGTCACAGGGGGCGGAAGTATTTTTTTGTAGTCCCCAAAATTCGTTCATTGTAGGCTTTGCTAAGCTAACTCTGTAAAAACCAAGGTCTCCCTTTGCATTGAACTTAGAACTTTTTACATTCAGAGATGTTGTTTATGTTCACACAGTTACATTACACATCAACTAAAGTTTAAAATATGAGATCGTAGTGGACCACCCCTTTAAAGCTTGACTCTTTTGTTGTGACATCATGTACTAAGACTGATGGAAAATAAAACGTTGCTATTTTCTTGGTGGATATGGCTAGGAACTATACTCTCATTCCAGCATAATAATCAAGGAACTTTGTAGGCGCAATGATATTATTCAGCACCTGAAAATAGTCCCCTGCCTCGTAACTAGGTAACATCATAGCTTATCATCATTGTGGCTGCTTAATAATCAAGTTACTTGGTTAATAACTAAAGAAAAGTAAATCTTTTAATTAAAAACTATCTAAATACTTATTAAAAATGTTTTGAGCAAGATGCTAATGGTCTAATCCAATTCAATGGATTATGCTAAGCTAAGCTAAAAGTGCTCTTGCCATACACAACGATCAACTGAATGGAATTAAAAATGTTACTGTTACTACTGTTTGGCTGTAAGGGAGCTCTAAATCGAGACTATTTTCAAAAAAAGTGCAGTGTTTCTTCAAAGCTACTTCTATATTTGGAAGCAAACATAATCTTTAGTGGCTGTTAAATTGCATTCGCCCACATTAATGACTACAATGTAACAGCAGTCTGATCGCAAGCGTTTTTGACCACCTCTGTATGTGGTTAAAAGTGGACAAGCTCAAAACCTTCACAGATGTATTAAGAGTCCGTCCACTTGTGATCGTATGGATGAAAATGCATCTTAACAGCAGGTGTAAACGGGGCCTGTGTTGCAGGGATGTGGGATTGAGAGCAACCAGTCATCGCAGCTTCCCAGTCAGTCCTGACCAGCTTGAGCTAACTCTTTAACACGTGAATGATTTCCATCTTTCTGGACGCGGTGACTGGTTGTTGCAAGCCGGGAGGGTTGAACGGAGGCACACGTCTATCCCGGGAGTTCTACTCAGTGCTTCTCATGGCTGTAACTCTTTTTTTTTCTTATGTTGTTTTTTGTGGTGGATTGTTTTGCTTTAGCTGTGTTTAACGCTTTGTTTCTGTGTCGGTTTTCTCTTGTTGCGTTACAGAAACAGAAGAACATCGCTGGAGCTCTGGCGTTTTGGATGGCGAACGCTTCTGAGCTGCTGAACTTCATCAAACAGGACAAGGATCTGAGTCGCATCACGCTGGATGCTCAGGATGTGCTCGCTCATCTTGTTCAGATGGCCTTCAAGTTAGTTGTTCAAGTTCAGGTTTAATAAAAAATGCATGTGTAATAAAAAACTGCACATTTTAAAGCACTTCACAAGACCTTTAAAGAGCCCCTATTATGCATTATAAAAACTTTCAAGCTTTCAACTTCACTGGTATTCTACAAATGACAACTAAAAACGAGAGCAACTGAACCCGATGAATAAAACCAAAACCCCTCTTCTCACTCTCCCACCTCACTACACACTAAAATACTATGAATTCTGAATGTGCCTCATACAGGTGAGTGGACTTAATAAACCACCTGTTTAGAAAACACTCATTCATCTCACTGGCACATTAACCAACACAAACACTGTGCATTTATGAAGGGTGCTTCACACAGGTGAGTGGGCCTGACAAACCACCTGTAGAAACACTTACAAAATAAATAAATAGCACTCTTACTCTAGCAATTAATTCTCTGAGCATTCTCTAGCAATTAATTCTATATATATATATATATATATATATATATATATATATATTTATATTTACAGGGCTCGAAATTAACTTTTTTACTTGGTAGCACCGGTGCTCCCAACTTCAAAAATTTAGGAGCACCAGAAAAAATTTAGGAGCACCCACCAAAAATGAATGAGCACCGCTGCAAATTGTATTTTAAGGGACTTATTGTATTTTAAAACAACATCAATTAGGACTAACAAAAACCAGAAACAACTATAACTAATGCTGAGATTACATTGATATTTGTGTGCAATAATTACAAAATGTGTGTCTAATAGTTCTAGAATATTAATGATGATGAAAATGACAATAATAGTAACAATGAATTACATTTCTCATCATCATGCTGCCTTGAATGTGTTTAAATGTAAGTTATGTGCTATAAAAAGTCTGTTACTTTATGAAAAATAAATTTATAGTTTGCATCAAACAAAAATGAAGCATTGCAGTAAGAAATATTTATTTTGTACTGCTAAACAGCATATATATGCATGTCAGTCTAATAAATAATATTTCTGCTGCAAAACAAACAAAAGATTATAATAAAATATTAAATTCAAGGCTGAAAGCTGCAAAACAGTCATCAGTAACTAAATAAAAAAAAATATATACACCTCAAGAAAGAATAGGCAAAAGAAAGTAAGTAAAGTCTCACTTCTATCACTCTTTAAAAGTTTTGGTTTCAGTTTGTGTCAATTTAAATGTTCTGTCTGAGCTGATTTTCATTTTTCTGTGTATGTGGAAAAGCAGGCGAGTCAGCCGACCCCATTTTTGAGCAGGTTAAGCACCGGCGCAATACCGCTGTTTGTTATGAGACGCAGTTTCAGTGTAAACTTAGTAAAGGCGAGCTTCTTTGGCGATGATACAGTATTAGATTTGACTTTTAGCGGACATTTGCGCTGAACACGCAGTGAATGCAACACATCGAGATTCAGCCACCTTCTCCGAAAAGCACGTACTCGATTGATCTCAGCTGGCGGATCAATATTCACCACGTGTCATGATCGCTCTCATCTGCGTCTCAACTTTAGGTGGGGTTTGCACTTTGCAAACCTGTGTGCTTTAAGTTTTCACACTTTAGCCGTTTGCATTTCCCGTGGACATAAAAGCTCCCTCCCTGTCATCTAACAGTGGAAAGCCTTGAGTGATTGACAGCTAATATGAACCAATATAGCGGCAGGGAAGAGCGATTCAGCACGTTTGAAAAAAAAAAATCAAAACAGGTCACACTAATGCGCCCAAATTTATTATGAGTTCGCATCGATTAATTTTTCGGGCGCATATGCGACCAAAATGGTCGCAATTTCGAGCCCTGTATATATATATATATATATATATATATGCGTGTGTGTATTTTTTGATTTATGCGTGTATACACACACACACACATATATATATATATATATATATATATATATATATATATATATATATATATATATATATACAATTTAGTAAACTTTACAAGATGAAATGTGCTTATAAATATGTGAAATATTGTAAATAAATTGTATAAATGATTGGTTATTGCACATTTAAATCTAATTCTGAATGGATGAATATTGCTGACCTTTATTGTTAAACTAAATGTTGCCCTGGTCATACTGTGTTCCTGTAACCATTATCAGGCGTCAGGAAGTGCTGAATGTAAGGAATGTTGTTCAGTGTCTGGCTTGTGTTGGCTGAGCTGTAGTTTGTATGAGAGAGGGAGAGTTATAGTCCTGAGGCTGGTTTTCAGCACAAAAACAATGTGGTTTTAGGCCCTCGGTTTCCTATAAGCGCTGGAACGAGCAGCTGAAACAACTGTGCTTTTGTGCGGTTTATGAAGCAGCCAGCTCTCAGATTTACTGTGGGATTTTACAGGAAGTTCTTTTAAGGCCCTTGCTGGTGGATATATTAAATAATTTGTGTTCCCGCAGGTACCTGGTGCACTGTCTGCAGTCAGATCTCAATAACTACATGCCAGCTTTCCTGGAAGATCCCGACGAGCAAAACCCACAGAGGCCTAAGATAGGTGAGCAGAATATTCGTTTATGTATTATATTTTATTCTTTTACATATTTATTTGTTTTGAACTGGCATGTATGATTATTAAGTTGATCAGTATAAGCAGACTCTCTCCTTAACTCTTCAATCATTGGAGTATTAAATCTTTGGGTTTCTTTCTTCTGTTAAACACGAGATATTTTAAAGAATGCTGGTTGCTGGCACCCATCGGCTTCCTTGGTAGGGGAAAAATGCTATGGAAGGGAATGGGTGGCAGCTACCAGCATACCAATTAAACTCAAATAGGTTTTGAACAAGTGATGTGTGATTAAGTGATTGCAGAATTAAAATTTTTGAGTGAACTTCGCCAATAGCACTTTTTACACCTGTCAGTTTTTTTTAGATTTTGTGCTTTGTGCTATAATATAAAGTAAACATAAAATTCTTGAACAATATATGCAAATTGGTGAATGCCACGTTTGCATATTTAAACAGCATTTTAGAAAGTGTGTAATTTATAAGAATTTAAGCTTGATTACATGATTGCAGAATTTAAAAAATTTGGGTAAACTACACAAATAGTACTTTTCTTTTTTTTATGTTTTGATCTTTTTTCCTTTTCATACTTTTTTTATGTAACAAAACAAGGTTTATAATTTAAAGAAAACTTCGAAAATACACCTAAATTGTTTTTAAAATTGTGCAAGTTGGTGTATTTTTTTTTCTTATTGCATATGTAGATATAAAATTTTAGAGTATGTAAAAAAAATCTTGTTTTTTTTTTGGTCAAAAGTGTGTGTGTGTGTTTTTTTTTACACATTATTCACCTTATATTTGTAACCTTTTTTATTTATTTTTATTTTTTTACTCTATTCAACTGTTCTGAAAAGTTTTATTGGGAAGTAAGAATTTTTTGATTTGTGATAGTTATGGGACCACCTAGTGGCGGGATTGTTAGTCGACAGCAGTAGTGCTCAGCTCAAAAGAGCTGGTTTTAGTTCCTTAACAGAAGCTTGCAGTTTCTTTTCTCAGTTATCTTAGTTATGGCAAAAATATTGCACTTTCTTGACATAAATTTGTTTCACATGAATCACTTGGGCATCCACTGTGTAAAACATATACTTATTAAAAGTTATTAACATCTTAAAGGGATAATTCAAAATAAAAGTTTACTCACTATTTACTCTAACTGATTTGGTTTTAAACTTTCTTTCTTCTGTTGAACACAAAGGAAGATACTTTGAAGAATGCTGGTTGCTGGAACGGATGACCTTCCGGCTGCAACCCAGTACTGGGAAACACTCATACACTATTACATTCACACACATACACTACACCCAATTTAGTTTATTCAATTCACCTATAGCACATGTCTTTGGACTATGGGGGAAACCGGAGCACCCGAAGGAAACCCATGCCAACACGGGGAGAACATGCAAACTCCACACAGAAATGCTATCTGGCCCAGCTGGGACTCGAACCAGCAACCTTCTTGCTGTGAGGTGACAGTGCTAACCACTGAGCCATTTGGGAAAAACCCATACATTTTATAAATATTTATCCTAGCCAACATCGGTGGTTTCTAAACATTACACCAGTGTTTAAATAAATACTAGAATTCTGATGCAGTTTGTGTTGATGCTGTGTTAATAAGGCCTGAATTTCCTTTTTATCCACAGAGGATGTTCTGCACACGCTGACGGGTGCCATGTCTCTGCTGCGCCGATGCCGTGTGAACGCGGCGCTCACCATCCAACTGTTTTCGCAGCTCTTCCACTTCGTCAACATGTGGCTCTTTAACAAGCTGGTGACGGAGGCCGATTCTGGCCTGTGCTCACACTACTGGGGCGCCATCCTTCGCCAGCAGCTCAGTCATATTGAGGCCTGGGCTGAGAAACAAGGCTTGGAGCTGGCTGCAGACTGCCACCTCAGCCGCATAGTCCAGGTATACTGCACACAAATACAGTGGAAGTCAAAATTATTATTGGCCCTTCTGTGATTTATTATTTTTTTATTATTATTTTATTTTTTTCAAATATTTCCCAAATTATGTTTACTTTTTACAGTATTTCCTATAATATTTTTTCTACAGGTGAAAGTCTGCTGATTTGTTTTATTTTGGCTAGAATAAGTGGCTATTTTTACTAGTTCTTCATTTTGTTAAAACCATTTTAAGGTCAATATTATTAGACCCCTTATGCGGTATTTTTTTTTTTTTTTGGATTGCCTACAGAAAAAAAATCTACGTTATACAATGCCGTGCCTAATTCCTCTAACTTGCCTAGTTAACATAGTTAAATATCTTTGTAAGCTGAATATTAGTATCCTGAAAAATATCTAGTAAAATGTTGTTTACAGTCATTATGGCAAAGATAAAATGTATCAGTTATTAGAAATGAGGTAATAAAACTATTATGCTTAGAAATGTGTTTAAAAAATCGTCTTTATGTTTAACAGAAATTGGGGAAAAAATATAGTAGTGGGCTAATAATTCAGGAGGGCTTATATTTCTCACTTCAACTATATACTAGGCTTATGACGGTATCAATGTGTTGTTATGAGTATTGTGTTGTCATTAGCTACGTTTTATGCGATTATTCTATTATACTGTACAATAGCTATGTTTTATCGTTGTTTCTACCACTATAGCGCATTTAGGGTAAGAAAGGAGCATTACAAATAAAATGAATTATTATTATTATTATTATGGTATAAAACATTGTCATGATATAGACTTAATCTGCAAAAACAAATATTTGTATGTTGCTTAAACTTATTTTAAAAAGTTAATCTGATTTCGACTCTATTTTTTAATTATACAAAGTTTAACTTTATATTTTTTTATTTATTTAAGTTGAGATGACTGGAAAAGTTCATTTGATTTAACTAAAAAATATGAAGGCAGCAAGTTTATTTGTTATTAAGTGTATATTGTCAAAACATACTTTTTGTATTATCAAAACATGTCTTTTGTTATATTATATATACAGTCAAACCTGGAATTATTCACACCACTATCAAATTCTGTTTTACAGTTACAGACTTTTATTCAACCAGCAGTTGATTTATTTTTGGCGTAAGTGACTCAAGCTTCTCCTGAAGATGGTTTACAAGAGGCAAATATTTCTCAACTTTTATTTACATTCGAACGAAAACTTTAATTCAGAATTTGATTGGTGTATGAATAATTTCAGGCTTGACTGTATACAGTATGTTCAGAGTAAATATGCTTCAACCCTAAATTGCAAAAGGATTATGAAGTGCAATAGTTAGCACTTTACAATTAAACTCTGATTAGTAAACGTTAGTTAATGGATTCAAGTCAACAATGAGTAAAAGCCAGATTTATTAAAAATACAGTTGAATTTTATTAGTTATTAATTTACTAGAACGATTGCCTTTAAGATTCGATAGCATTTTTAGGCAGTAACTAAGAAATTAATGTCAGATAAGATGAATAAAAGCTTTTGTAGTTTTCAGTTTAGTTCAGTTTATTGTAGCCTTGTCATACAGTGTTAACTGTAAATAACCACAAGATTTTCAATCAATATTTTAGCATAGGCCAGATTAGCTTGAGAAAATGTTCATGTTTGGACTATCAAGATAAACAGTTAGTTTCAGTTGAACATCACTGCTAATACAATCTGAATTTACTCAAAAAACACTCTAAAAATTCAATAAACAATTATTCACAGCATTTTTAGTTGCCTATATATATATATTGCCGATATATTGAATTATAAAATATTAGCTAATGTGTTACTAATGTACTAATTAGTACTTAGTACTAATGTACACCTGGCTCAGGGACGTAACATAGTGAGGGAGACGACCCGGCGAAATATAATCAAAAAGACTATTTATTTGAACAATTGAAAATAATATAATCAAAACATCAGTATCAGTATGTTCAACCAGTGTGAAAAGCAAGTGATTGGATGTGGTAAGTCTTGTCAGTGATAGTGTATGGATGGGAAACAAAATAACAATGCTCAAATTGGACTGCAGCTCTGGCCAACTGCCAAGTGAATGAACAGCGGTCCCGACCAACTTTCTGACGGGGTTTAAATAAGGGCGCTGACCAGCATCAGGTGCGCTGAGGGCATGCCCCCAATCTTGAACAAATCAAACACACAGAAACACAAAACAACACAGTCCTAACTGTATAGACTTTACCTAATTTAAATGCACACCTTTTGGCATTTTTTGGATTAAATTAAGACATCATTTGCCCTATCTACTTTGTTTTGTTGGCCCATACAGAGGGATTTCTCCCACATTTATTCCACAAAACATGCATGTACATGCACAATAGGATTACATGTACTGTTTTGTGGAGCTTTCTTGCGGCTTATTCTGTTGTGTGTATGATTGTTTTATAAGATGGTGGAAAATGTGACCTTGGGTTATGTTGCCTGTTTAGGCTTTAACTAATCTTTTGTTTTCCAGTACATGGGTGGTTGAAATTTCTGATTTATACCTTTTAATATTGATTTATCTCATGCAGGGATTTGGAAACAGGAGTTCAACAAAAAGGAAATGTTAAGATGAAAAAATTGTGAAGAATGAGTGGTCACACTTTATTATAAGGTTTCATGTTAGTTAATGTATTTAATTAGCTGAACTCAGAATGAACAGTGCTTGTACAGCATTTATTGATTATAAAAGTTCAGCATTTACTAATGTTTTATTAAAGTCTAAACAAGTAACAGACTGCTTTTTGCTGTTTATCTTTTTTTTCTAAGGCAATCAAAAAATGTGAAAATAATGTAAAACATTTTTCCATTTTCAAATATTTTTCCACATTTTTCGGTGCCTTAGACTATTTATTCTTATGAATCCCTCATCCAAAGAGCACCTACACATTATTTAAGCTACCCCTGAGCACTTTTTGTTTGATTCTGGAAAAAAAAAGATATTTAAAAAAATGTATTAAATACACAATGACCATAAATAATAATACACGCCTATATGGATAATTCAATAATTGTTATGATGGTCAAAGATGACAAAGATCTGTTAAAAATATATGTTAAAAATCTTTTCATGATTATGTAAATAAAGCAATACAGACAGAAAAAAAAACATGAAAAGTAATTATTAAAGGGGAAAAAAAAATACAAACACACTCACACATACAGTTTAAAATATACAGGTGGGGCCACTGAAAATCAAGAGTGAATGAACGTGACCACTCGCAATGCTGCAGTGTTGTGCGGTACCACACAAAATGGTCTAACACAACAAAGACATGACCAGCAGGGCAGTTATGGAACATAGTGAACATACTAAACTGATATAGCAGCGCACACACAGAGAAGCGCAAAGAAAATTAAATAGACTAATCATGATTGTCTCATCAATAGTTTTTTATGATGGTTTGTTCACTGAAAACTAAACACTTACAAATACATACTTTTATGTATGTATACCATCCTCTTAAAAAAAAAATAAAATTATATATATATATATATATATATATATATATATATATATATATATATATATATATATATCCTTATATATATAATATATCAAAAGGTAATTACAATTATAATACAATATATATATATATATCTTCCACCACCTCTGCAACCAGAATATTTGAAAGTGTCAAGGAAAATTTTGGAGGACAAATATATTTTAAATTTAATATTTATTCAAGGCAATTTCATTTATATAACACGTACACAATGATAATTCAAAGCGTTTTACATAAACCAAAATAAATAAAACAAGTATAAGAAATAAAAACAACAAAGAACAAAAAGCCAAATAATGTTTTAAAAACTGGTTTTAGAGGAATGAAAAAAAGAAAGACATAATAGTGTGATCTGTCAGTTGAGCACAGTGCTCATTCAGTAAAGGCACAGCTAAAAAGGTAATTTAAGTATTGATTTGAATGTGCCTAATGCTTGAGCACGTCTGATCATTTCTGAGAGCTGATTCCAGATTATTTACAGTGAATAAGTGTGTTCTAATGTGTGTTCTAATTTGACTAAAGGTGCTATTTGCCCTATTTATTCTTTATTTGTCTTACTTATTTTTAGTAAAAAACATAACATTGCATACCATACAATAAAGTGTCATATTTTTTTATGTTAGTCCATCAATTTACAACTACCGTGATAGCTGTAAAAGCATGTAGAAAATAAAAGCATTCTTAGGACATTGAAAAAAAACTAAAAAAGAAGAACAAATAAGGACAATCAGATGGATATAGTTGATAAATAAAGGTGTAGCCTTGTTCACAACAATATGGCTGGATATTGAAGGATTAAAGGCATGACAGGGGTCCATCTTTTTGGTAAAAATAGTCGCAATGCTTATGTTATTTGTTCCATTTCATACAGCTCTCACACTCTTTTAATCTAATGTGAAGGAGGTTTAGGATTTAACCATCTGCACTTCACAAATGCAGCAAGTACAATTTGTAAAAAAATATATTTAGGAAACTTTTTTTTTTTTTTTAAACGCTCCTTGGTTAAATGCGTGTAATGTAAGCCCATGCTTTATGCTAACTGTCCCTGTGTCTCTTAAGGCGACGACCCTCCTTACTATGGACAAGTACTCCATGCAAGATGTCCAGAACATCAACAACACCTGCTTCAAGCTCAACTCTCTTCAGCTCAACGCTCTGCTGAGCAACTACCACTGCGCTCCTGACGAACCCTACATTCCTCCTGTAAGTAAGCTGTCTCGTTTAAACCCTGTAGTCCTGCACTAATGACATGTGTCCTGTTCCAGATAAACCCAAACAGGTGTTCTGCACGCTCACAGAAGCTCAACTCATTTCCTTCAACCTCAGGGTCCCTCATAATGTGACCTCCTTGTTTGATGTGAAATATTACTGTCATTATATACTGCTGTAACTGATGTTCGCTGTTCTGTAGCTTCTCGCATATCGCTTTTCCACCAACCGGGTGCTAGATTAGAGCTTGTGTTATTGCCGGGTTCAGAGTTAGTTTGACTGGTGAGCCTTCTCAGAACTTGTTTGCTTTTCCATGCGCTGGAAAGCTTTAATATAAATAGGCCTTATGTTACCGAATATAGTTAAGGTCACAATTATTAGCCCTCCTAGAAGAAGCCACAGTGAGCACAGTGTTTTTGTTTTTCTTATATGATAAATGACTTTCTTCTCAGAAGATGAAATGCAATGAACACGCGGTGGCTTTTAGAGGCACGAGATGCTCTTTATTATGCACATGCTGGAATGTGTATTTGGTAAATGCGCTTACATTGTGCTTTATGTGCATTTTTTCTAATCGGCTATGCACATCTCAGCATTTACTTTATGCTTTTTTTAATGCAATGTTACAAAATATGGATAAAAATCGATGGATGGAAACTGCTATTTGCAGATGTTTCATTGTTTTGGTTTTATTGCTCTAAATTAACATCCAAACATGAAGATTCTAACAGGTTTCTGTTCATCTTATTAGTCATTGCAACCCTGCTCTAAACCCCTGACACAAGTGGTTTTCACTTCTATGCTTTGAAAAATAGTAGGGATGCACCGATACCATTTTTCTGGAACCGATCTGATCTCGATACCAAAATTCTGAGTATCGATTGATACAGATCAGATCCCAATACTGTGCGTATTTATATTTTTAATTTTTTAAGAAAAATTCAGTTTCTATAGCTCTGATAATAAACTCAAATAATACATCTTCTTTAGTAAAAATGACAGACCTATAACCCTACTGTATATGCCAGACGACACAATCCAACTAAAAACATGATGCTTGCTGTAAACTAGGCTACATTATTTGAGCATACCTTATACATTAGCCCCTTTCACACATATAGACCGTTCCGGAAAATTACTGGCAATTTTCCCGAAAGGTCTGTATGTGTGAACAGGCCCTTTTTGAAAATACCGGTAAATTCGTTCTGGCTATTTTCCGGAAAGAGAAGTTGTAACATTTCCTGTAATTTGCCGAAATGTTGCGCTGTGTAAACGCTGAAGGAAGATTGCCGGAACTTTAGCCAATCAGTACAGTCAGACGCATTCACGTACATGCGGTTTATGAAAATAAAAGCCTTTGAATATTTTTCCTGCCACATTCAGCTGCTAGATGTTAGTCAGACAACGTTTATATGTTCCTTCTTAATGCCAACTTTGTAAATAATTATCGATAAGATGCTAGTGATAAGGCGTTGTTTGTTTACCTTCAAGCTCTGCTTTCTTCAGTTGCTTAACGTGTCGCGTGTGCCCGTGAAGGAGCCCGTGAGCGCCAGCACACACACATATCATGTACATCTCTACATGCGAAAGTGTTCCTCTATATTTTCATCAAAGTTGTTCACAATACTTCTCCATCCACAGATTTTGAAATGTAGTCAAATGTTTACAAATACAAGCGCAGCCGTTTAGAGGTCATTTCTGGTTAATGATGTCAGAATTTACCTGTATTTTGGAATGGATTTCTAAGTGGTCTTTTGTGGGAAAATCCTGTAACGTCCTCGCCTGTGTGAACAGCGCTTTTTTGAATTTTCCAGTAAAGTATTTACCGCTATCACTGTGTGAAAGGGGCTATTGATCTGTTGTGGTCCAGCTTATATTTCCTTTATGAATATTAAGATGTTTCCCTGAAATCTGCAATAGGCTACCACTATTGACCCTAATCATTGGTAAAATAACCAACCTTTTTGTAAAACCTGATATTTTCCTGCAGGTTTGACTCAGACTAAACTGTTTCTGTAAGTGTAAGTGTAAGTGTTTCGGAGAAAGTGACGGAGAAAGTTTAAAACAAGGTCTGCTTAAATGCTTCATCGCCAAACACAAACTGGTCTAAATCAAATATTGATATACATAAAATTTTCTGCTAATGACAATTCATAAAGCGCCGGTCATTTTCAGATTTATTAATTTAGCTACTTTGACCACAATGAGCCAAGCTTTACAAACTATTTGCAGCACTTAAAGTATTCCCCTCAGAAGAATAAAGTCGAAGGATGAGAGAACAGAATGGTGGTGTGTGAATGAAGCGCATGGTGCATCACTGAGACAACGTGCAGTCTTCCGGTATCTACGGTCTTTTTCAAAAATGAGCAGCACATAGGGAAGAAATCGGTGCGTTGAGGATCTGTCCAATGTATTATTGAGATTTTTTTTTTATTTAAAATATCAGGTAGGCCTATTTTGTGTGTGAAGAGCAGGTAATAACCCTCTCCAGTGTTGTGAATGCGATCTGCTGATCTAACAGACAGCGCAACATGATGTAGAAACAGCAATAAACTCCTTGTTCCAAAATGAATCCATTTAATGCTAAACTAAATCCGTTTCTCCACTAATTATATAAACAGAAACAAATAGTCTTGAAGAGTTTTTCGTGTTGTTATAAACGTGACACGCAGTTTGAATTGTAAATGAATGGAGAATGATTGACAGTTGCTGTGGCGAAGCGCTGAATTGAACATGAATTTAACCACTTTAATATTAATCTGTGCTTCACATCAAACTATAGAATGGCTTTAGAACATTTGGCATACACAGTAGTAGGGCTACATGACAACATTCTAGTGCCTCATAATAGGGTACCTTCATGGCTTTGTTGGCTTATAAATCACACAGAATATAGCACACACGCAAGATTGGATTTGGATCCGTTCCAGCTGGCTGATACCCGATCCAGCAAAAATATGCCTTATCGAACCTATATCCAATCCAAGTATCGGCATAAGTGCATCCCTAAAAAATAGCCTTTAAATGTACTGTTAAAAAAAGAGGCCGTTGTCGTTGCTAGAAGTTTACGGCCAAACATATGGTAGAAGCTGCAAATGAAATGTCTACATTTGATTATTAATCTTAAATAGGGCTGCATAATATATCGTTTCAACATCAATGTTACTATGTGTGAGTCCGCAATAGTCACATCACAGGGATGTGCAATTTAGTAGGGATTATATTTGACCTGATATTGACAATGAATTGCTGACTTTTGACCTTAGAGTGGAACTGTATTATTTGAATGTGTGTTTATTATTAAGGCCTGTGACTGTGGAAGCATTTCAGGCTAATTTAAGCCATTTGGGCACAGCAAATTAAACGGTTAAGGCTTAAAGATTGTAATTTGAAATGATATAATTATTTACTTAAAGAAAATGATAGTGTTATTATTATCATTGTTATTATACTGTGGTTATTTAATTTGTGTTGCTGAATACTGTTTAACTCCCCATAAAACCCCATAAATCATTGTTTATTTGTATCTGTTGAATTTAACTTTGCTTGTCATTTTTTATTATATTTATTTTTTTATTATATCAATTTATATTTTGCCGATTTCCAACAATATGAATTATTTACAAGCTATTCAAGTCATCTGGTGAAATTGCATTTACAGTTAAAGTCAGAATTATTAGCCCCGTCTTTCAAATTTTTCTTCTTTTTTAAATATTTCCCAAATTATGTTTAACAGAGCAAGGACGTTTTCACAGTTTGTCTGATGATATTTTTTCTTCTGGAGTCTCATTTTTTAATTTTTAATTTTTTAAAAAACATTTTACAGTCAAAATTATTAGCCCCTTTAAGATGTATTTTTTCCGTAGTCTACAGAACAAACCATCGTTATACATTATAACTTTCCTAATTACCCTAACCTGCCTAGTTAACCTAATTACCCTGGTTAAGCCTTTAAATGTCACTTTAAGCTGAATAGAAGTGTCTTTAAAAACATCTAGTAAAATATTATGTGCTGTCATCATGGCAAAGATAAAAATAATCAGTTATTAGAGATGAGTTATTAAGACTATGTTTAAAAATGTGTTAAAAAATCTTCTCTTCATTAAACAGAAATTGGGCTAATAATTCTGACTTCAACTGTATTTCCCAATCTAAATCACAGTAAACTGAAATATTGCAATGTTCATTTTTTTGAAGACCTAATTTAAAGTATTTCATTACTTCATGAAGTTATTTGTAATGTTCAGTGTTTTAAAGTACTAACATCTACACATTATACACTTTGTTCAAACTGCTTGTTTAAAATTAGCTAAAACAACACAATTCTTGAGGATTTTTTTGGATGGGGAAACTTAATTGTTTTATGTTCATTCCACTTAAATTTGTCAAAACTAATAAGTGAGCTTAATTTCTTAATTTGTTGTCTAAACATAAATCGATTGTGTGGAATCCAGAATTTTCTACAGTGAACAAATATTTAGAAGACACTTCTTGTCATTACCAATAAATTATGAAACACCATCATGTTAACACACATGACACTAAAGTAATGCAGTAAACATTATTTATTAACATTAGATGTAACGATAAACTCCAATGTACATAACTGATAAGAAAAATAGTCTGTACCATAGTTTTTATCTTTAAAAATGTGTCCTGCAGGGACTTCTAGAAGGTCCTGGTTTAGGTAGGAAGGTGGATAGGTAGATCTTAAACAGCACTTAAACCAGCTTAGTGTTAAAGGGATACAAGGCTGAATTAGATGCACCCCATCTTACCAAAACTCACTCCTGGAGTGCCTGTATCATTGTCCTCTTCATGCCTACAGGAGCTGATTGATCACGTGGTGGCCGTGGCCGAAAACACTGCAGACGAACTGGCCCGAAGCGACGGGCGGGAGGTTCAGCTGGAAGAGGACCCCGACCTTCAGCTGCCTTTCTTGCTGCCTGAGGACGGCTACTCGTGCGATGTGGTGCGCAACATTCCCAACGGATTCCAAGAGTTTCTAGAGCCACTTTGCCAGAGAGGTAAAAAACGATAAACAGGCTTTTAATGACTTTTGGGAGCGTTTGATGCGCACAATGAGTATCAGGTGGATGGTGAATCAGAGGGCGGTTGGCGTTTGTTTAAGGCTGACGTGACGGCAGTGGAATGCAGTTTGTTAAGGTTCTGTAGAAAACTCTGTTTGCTGCCATTCCTGTCACTATTTGTTTTTTTATGCAAGAGAGAGAAAGAGAGAGTGTGTTTTGCAGGTGCGTGTGTGTGTGATAAAGACGGAGAAGATTGAAGTTCAGTGTTTTAATCTGCTTAATCTCCTCCAGGTTTCTGTAGATTGACTCCTCATCCACGCTCGCCGGGAACTTGGACCATTTATTTTGAAGGAGCCAACTGTGACAGTCACTTCTCAGCCGACACCTCAGAACTGGTAAGTTTTGATTCTATTTGGATAGATGGACTGACAAAAAGATAGACATACCAACAGACTGGTAGAAAAACATTTTGATAGATAGATAGATAGATAGATAGATAGATAGATAGATAGATAGATAGATAGATAGATAGATAGATAGATAGATAGATAGATAGATAGATAGATAGATAGATAGATAGATAGATAGATAGATAGATAGATAGATAGATAGATAGACAGCATAGATGGGTAGATAGATGGATACATAGACAGCATAGATGGGTAGATAGATGGATAGATTGACAGATGGATGGCTGATAAAATGATAGATAGATGACAGAAACTCAGACAACCAATGTATAGATGGATGGATGGAGGGGTGGACAGATGCATAGAAGGATAGATAAACAAATGACTGACAGAATGATAAAATGATAGATGACAAACTGACAACTAATGGATGGATAGATGGACAGACACATAGAAGGATAGATAAACAAATGATAGACGGAATGATAAAATGATATATAAATGACAGAAAAACTCAGACAACCAATGGATGGATGGACGGACAGATAGATGGACAGATGCATAGAAGGATAGATGAATGATAGAATGATGGATAGAATGATAGATAGATGACAGAGAAACTCAGACAACCAATGGATGGATGGACGGATAGATGGACAGATACATAGAAGGATAGATGAACAAATAATAGAAGTAATGATAAAATGATAGATAGATGACAGAGAAACTCAGACGATGGATGGATGGATAGATGGATGAATGGACAGGCGGAGAGATGCATAGAAGGATGGATAAACGAATGATAGATGGATGACAAACTCGGACAACTGATGTGTGAATGGATGGACAGATCCATAGAAGGATAGATAAATGAATGATCAACAGAATGATGGATAGAATGATAAAATGATAGATAGATGACAGAAACTTAGACGATGGCTGGATGGACAGACTGACAGATGCATAAACAAATGATAGACAGAATGATAAAATGATAAATAGATGGATGCATTGATTGAATGATTGACTGATAAACAGGCAGACAAAAACCACAGCGTTTGCGACCCTGGACCATAAAACTAGGCTGATGTTTTAGTTTTGTTTTCTGAGGTTTCTGAGGTTCAGACGTCACTTGACTACTGAATCAATGTTTTTGGACAATCTGCAATCTGTGGTTTTCAAAAAATATCTAAACATCGAGAAAATCATCTTTGTAGAAATTGAAGTTGTACAAATGAAGTGCATACATTAATAATCAAGTTTTAAACATATTTTTACTGTAGGAAATTTACTAAATATATTAATGGAACTTGATCTTTACTTAATATTCTAACGATTATTTGGCATTAGTGTAAAATCGTTAATTTTGACCAATACAGAGTGTTTTTGGCTATTGCCAGTTATATGCCTGTGCAGCTGAAGACATGTTTTGTCTTCCAGGGTCACATTTATTTCGTTTTGCACCAAAATCTTTACATGTGACAGCAACACTAGACATGTTTTCGTGGAGCTTATCTGCTGTCAGCTGCAAGTGTGTGTGCTGTCAAACTAACATTCTCTTCGATTTAGCGAACACTAGTTACACCACAAAGGGCAATATTTGACCATAGTGCCCAAGGACTGACTGTAAAATGATATCTTTCTCCTCACCCTGAACACACCAAGCCCTAAATTACTCCAGCTCCCCTGTAATTACTTTGTTTTTTCTGTCTCTTGTGTTTTTACATAAGTGGAGTTTTTACGTAATATCAAAATCTTTTTTTTTCTGCATAATGTTGCTCCACCCGACAGCTAGCAGAGATGGAGCTTGGAATACATTTAAATACCAGACTGAAATCTGATTAACACAGCTTGACTTTGTGCCAGACCAACAAACCCACCCACTCCCACATCCCTTTCTTAAAGCCAGTCCCAGAACTGATGCTTGCCGAAAAAATCTCATATTATGTCTGTGAGACTTGATCTCGCTTGTAGTTCCTGATCTTGTTTTGTGATGCTATTTTAAAATAAAAAATAGCTTTTCAGATTCAGTTTCAGGTGACTGCTGTAGCTGAGCTTGTTGAATATACTTGAATTCACATTCCAAAGACTTGTGGTATAGGTGAATTGAATAAACTAAATTGGCTGTAGTGTGTGTGTGTGTGAATACAAGAGTGTATGGGTGTTTCCCAGTGTTAAGTTGTGGCTGGTAGGGCATCCGCTGAATAAAACATATGTTGGATAAGTTGGCAGTTCATTCTGCTGTGGCGACCCCTGATTAATAAGGGAACCAAGCCGAAAAGAAAATGAATGAATGTTTTCGAATGCTTTATAAAGGCCGAAATCACTCACACTCTAGCCTTTCTTTATTACCCATAAACCTCGGCTGTGATTTAAACCAGCTCTGCCATCGCCTCTGCCCCTTCCTGATGTGTTTTCAGCAATGTGGATGGGCAGCATAGCTGAAGTTCCCTGCACAGTGATTTCATGCCATGTGCCACATTTCTACAATGAGGCTCGCTAAAGGAGAGCCCGTGGCACCATGCCTCTCTGTGGGAAGCTGCTCTGTTTCTCCCAGGCCCGTCCCGTGCGTAAGCGAGCCCTCTGAGGGCCTGATGCACACTGGAGCCGACGCATGTGGCTTTCATTCTTGACTCCTCTCCAGCGCCCGCCGTTTCGCTCTGCGGTCGGCTGTGCTCTGAGAACCAGCAGTGGCAGAACCTCCCAACTTTTTTTCTCCTCCTCCTCCTCCACCTTCTGTAGGCTCAGTTTTCTCTAGGAACGGCCACCAGACGCAGCGTGGACCTAAAGCTTAAGATTTCTTGTTAACTTCATTCCCTCATAAACTCACCTGTCTTTCCTCTCCACAGCCAATGCGGAAGGAACCGGAAATTGTGACCGTGACTTTGAAGAAACATAATGGAATGGGCCTCAGTATTGTGGCGGCCAAGGTAGGATTTGGTTTTATTATTTATTTTTTGGTGGGAATGTGTAATACTGCTGCATTTGGGAAGTATGTACTGTTCATGGAAAGGGCTGACAGCTGAATCTTTTAGTTTTGATGTTGAACTTGATTTAATTGCAACACTTTTAAAGAGAATGGTTCTTTTTCTGAGGATTTTTCAGAGTAGCTGTTTTTGGTTCCTCGTAGGTCTGGGCAATATGGGCAAAAAAATCATATCTCTGTATTTTTAGGAGGAATAAAGGCATACGATATATATCCAGTATTTTCCCATAAATGGTTACTTGAGTGTCAAAGCCTTTATTAAAACTTTATTAAGCAGTTTTAGAGCAAAATATAAATCAAACACAGGGGTTTCCCTCCCTGTTATTATCTTCCTTATAATCATCATTCTTATATTGTTATTTGTTGAAAGATTAGCTAACAGATATCAAATATTAAAATAGATATTACAATAGAAAAACAATGGTGGACAAATGCATCCTTTTTATTTAACTTTTTTTTTTTAATTTTAAATAATCGTTTAAACCACCAATCGTTTGTACACTAGGCACACACACAAATTAAATCACGTCTTCCAGTTAAGTGGCTAAAGTAAATAAATCAATTAAGCAGAATAAATAAATACAATGATTAGAATATAATCTGAATTGAACTCAATATGCAATAACAAACCAGAACGCAGAGCTAAATGTGTTATAATGTAAATGTAAAGAAGAGACCACCTAGTAATAAATACTGAACTTATAATCAATAAATATGAGGTGGTTTAACTTTTAAAATGCGGTGTAAGTTCATCCCGTTTTCTTTTGAACACATTCAGGTGCTGCTTGTCAATTAGAGAAGGCTTCTATGTTCATTCTTGCTGTCAATTGTGGAAGAAATGATGAATTAAAGGTTTCTGATTAAACGCCGTGACAGCTGCAGGTGCTGTGACATGTGATCATGCGAGGAGAAGTCAGATTTGTCCAGGGAATCAGATGTCGATACAACACTGGCGCTGCATGTTCTTCCATGTCGTGTCAGTGATGGGTCATTCTTGAATGATTCGTTCATTTTGAACAAATCTTTTGTATGACTCATTCATTTGCGCATGCGCAGATTTGTGTAAGTGGAGCTCACGTGCTATGTTGGAGTGTCTGTTTGGCGCATGTGCACGTGTGGCCTCAAACCATATTGATATGAAAGATATTGTATAATCTTGCATCGCGTTGGGGAATCATATTAATATATGCCCTGAACTCCAAACCTTGGTTCCAAAGGTTCAGTTTTTTTATTCCCTTAAACACAAAAGGAGATGTTTTGAAGAAAGTTGTAAACATTGATTTCAGTGGTAAGGAATACAAATACTATGGAAGTCGATGGTTCTCAGCTTTCTTCAGAATATCTCCTTTTGCGCTCGACAGAAGAAAGACAAACAGTTTTTGAATTAATAAAGCTTGAGTTAACGATGACTGAATTTTCAGTTTTGTGTGAACTCAGGGTCTCTGCGGGGTGTGAAAAAATAATAAAACTTGATACAGTTGTAAATCAATTATGAAAAAATGAAGAACCCTTAAAAGAAACTAAATCGTTTTTTACGAGTGTTTGACTCCAAAAAAGCTCATCCATCCGGGTGATGTCACGTAATTTGTGTCAAACGCTGGAAGGTGATGCAACTTTCCACATGTAGAGAAACCATAGAGCGAAACAGACAGTTGGAGAAAGATGAGTATAAACAGTGGCTTAAGCCTGTCACTGAAAAAAAAACGCATAATTTATTCTTTTAAGCTTTGTTTCTTCTTATTTAACTACAAGTGTTTATTAACAACTCTTTATTAGGTTAATGGTTTGATACTGATTAAAACTTGAAGTGGCGATGAGATCTTTAAATGTTATTAGAAGGTCTTTAAAAAGTTTTAAAAAGGTATTGAAATGATCTTTAGGATTCCTGCATATACTCTGGAACTATCCCTTTAACTAAAACAGATATGTAAACAAGGATGTGCTTTGATGAGGAACTACTGCTTGATTCAGTCTAAAGCTGGACTGTCTGCTTCTCTCACATTCAAATTCAAAACCGAGATATAAGCAAATGATCCTCGTTTCCTTGTCAGACTGAGCTCTGTTCCACTCTGATGCTTTCAGTAGAAGAAAATATCTTTTTGCTCATCACCCTTTTACAAAATGCCTTCTGTTTTTGTTAGTTTACAGCAGTTAATGGGTTAAAATATTGTGCTAATGTTGTACTAGAAAGGTTAGTTTTGATGTCAACATTACAAGTTAATGTTTTGTTTATAGTCAAAACTCTAGCTTGTAATCACTGATATATGCAATTTGAAGCTGGTTTCTCTGTTGCTGTGCAAGTAAACGTCAAATTAGAATTTAGTTTGTGGATTATTTTTATGAAACATAAAAATGAAAGCGATAGTTTATCCAAAAGTCAAAATTCTGTCAATATTTACTCACCCTGTACTCATTGCAAACTTTTATGAGTGTCTTTTGTGTAGAAAATTGTGAAGATAGCCGAAAACCTGACTTCTATTCTATTTGTTTTTTATGCTATGGAAGTTAGTAGTTACAAGCTTTCAGCTTTCTTTTAAACATCTTTACTATTTTTAGAGAATAAAGAAACTTATAAAGGTTTGGAAGCACTTGTGGGAAAGTAAGGGTACATTTTTGGGTGTACTACAGTATCTCTTTAAGTTCAGTAGCTATGTTTCACCCCTTTTGGTAGACATAATTGCCTTTTTTCCCCTACCAGATGTGCGTCAGGTTCAGGGGCTAACAGGAACTGTTTATTTTCATAGCAAACCCTCCCCTTTACTACTTCTATTTTCATCTGTGAACGTCTCTGAGGAAGCATAGAGGTAGAACTGAGGAAAAGAAAAGTGAAAAATGGGAGGAGAAGGAAAGGGGGGAGTGAAGACGCAGACAGAGTGTAAGGCACGCTCGGGGACAAAGGGGAGGATCTAAAACGGAGAGACGGTTTGTCCCGGTGTGAAGCTATAGCTGGGACACAGCTCTAAAACTTTACCTAACTGTTTAGCGAGTGGTGGGAGTTTCTCCTGCATAACAGTCTGGATGTGTGGTATTTCCTACTCTGCCTTGATATTTACATATGGCGTTTAGCATGTAGCCAACAAGTCTCTCCTCAGTAGACCTGCCTGCTTTTGAAAGTGTTGGATAAGTTTTCCTGGACCACCTGTAGTTGATTCCTTGGTTCTGGACTGCGCAACATGTGGTTCTCTGTGGTCGGGAAGAAGGAGCCGGTAAGAAACCACTTGACATGGCATGTGTGTGTGTGTGTGTGTGTGTGTGTGTGTGTGTGTGTGTGTGTGTGTGTGTGTGTGTGTGTGTTTTGTTTTAACCTGGGAGAGTGAGCAAGTAAACACAGAGAGATTAATAGTGCACTAAAAAGCCATCAAAGAGAGTTTTGGGTTGTATACGTTTTGCTTTCAGGATGGCAGTTTGTTAGAATTAGTTCATGCATTGGGTGTCATGAACTACAAGTGGCCAATTTAATTAAGAAATATACTATTTTTTTTTTTTTTTTTTATAATATACTATTGAATGCTTATTTATACAAGCGAAGTATATTAGCAGATGCACAAATTATTATCATTATGGTTAATGTTAGTATGTAGTTTATTAGACAGTATATATTGTAATTGATCAAATACTCATTAAAACTGGTTAATTTAATTAAGAAATGTACTCTTTATATGTTGCTTAAATTTATAATATACTCACAAATGCTTATTTATGCAAGCGAAGTATATAAACAGATACAGAAATGATTATTATGGTTGATGTTAGCATGTTGTTTATTAGTTAGTACATGCATATCTTTTTAAATGAACAAATACTCATTAAAATTGATTAATTTGATAAAAAAATATATTAGTGTTCATTTATAGGTCGTTTTCATTTATAATATACCAACTAATGCTTATTTATACAGGTGAAATATGTTAGCACATGCAGACAAGCGGAGCATAAAGTAGCACATGCAAATATTATTATTATGGTTAATATTCATTTCTGCTTGTCCTTACATGCATCACTTGTATAAATAACCATTAGTATGTATTATAAATGAACAGATCCTCATTAAAACTGAATATTTTAAGAAAGAAATATGCTATTTTTGGTTGCTTTCATTTTTAATATACTAACAAATGCTTTTTTAATACAAGCAAAGTATATTAGCACATGCAGAAATTATCATTATGGTTATTGTTAGTATGTAGTTTATTAGTCGATATGTATTAAAAATGAACAAATACTCATAAAACGGGTTAATTTATTAAGTAATATGCTATTTTTAGGTTACTTTAATTCATAATAAACTAACAAATGCTTATTAATACAAGCAAGGTATATTATCGGATGCAGAAATGATTGTTATGGTTAATGTTGGTATGTAATTTATTAGTTGGTATATATTTTAAATGAACAAATACTCATTAAAACTGGGTAATGTAATTAAGAAATATACCATTGTTGCTAGGTCATTTCAATTTCTAATATACTAACTAATGCTTATTTATACAAGCAAAATATATTAGCACATTCAAAAATGATTATTATGGTTAATGTTTACTACTGCACGTGCTAATTGACTTCTTTTGTATATTAACCATTAGTTAGTATGTATTATGAACTGATACTCAAACTGGTTGTTTAATTATGAAATATACTGTTTTTATATGTTTTTTTGATTTATAATATATTATCAAATGCTTATATATACAAGTTAAGTATATTAGCACATGCAGAAATTATTATGGTTAATGTTAGTATGAAGTTTATCAGTTAGTATGTATTATAAATTAACATATCTTCATTAAAACTGGTTAATTTAATTAAGAAATATACTATTTTTATGTTGCTTTCATTTTTAATATACTAACTAATGCTTATTTATACAGACAAAGTATATTAGCACATGCAGAAATGATTAATATGGGTAATGTCCATTTCTGCGTGTGCTTATATACTTTGCTT